CAGGAGACTCGCTTGAGCCCAGGAGTTGGAGGTTGCTGTAAGCTGTGATGCCAGGGGGACAGCTTGAGGCTCTGTCTCAAAAAAAAAAAAAAAAAAATCCAGGACAAAGAACTTGATGCTTTGAAAAGGGGACTTCTTTTGAAGGAGTGGAAGCTCTTAACACAGTAACTGAAAAGGTTCTGATTAGGTGATTCCAATCTTTCAATACCGGTGGTGTGCTTGAAGGAGCCTCCTGGTACATAAACATTTCTATATTGTGTATAGCACCTAGCACGCTTTGGGAACACCACAAATTAAATATAGTATGATTTAAGTAAGAAAAGCTTGAAAGACTCCCCCGTTCTCCTCCCCCCCCAAAAGGCAAGTAGAGATGCCTTTTGTCTCAAGAAGGGAATACTCTGGACTCAAGGCCATTAAAGGTCTAGACTTCAGGAAGATGGGTCTGTTTTCTCAAGACTCCCCTCCCTTTATACAAAGAATTTACTTATGCACATACAATCATAAACATCCCTGGTTAAATCCATTATCTTATAATTTTTTTCTTTTTTCTTTTTTTTTTTTTTTTGAGACAGAGTCTCAAGCTATGGGCCCTGGGTAGAGTGCCGTGGCATCACAGCTCACAGCAACCTCAAACTCTTGGGCTTAAGTGAGTCTCTTGCCTCAGCCTCCCAAGTAGCTGGGACTACAGGTGCCTGCCACCAATGCCCATGTATTTTTTTCTTGGTTGTAGTTGTTTGGTGGGCCTGGGCTGGATTCGAATCTGCTAGCTCCGGTGTATGTGGCTGGTACCCTAGCCTCTTAAGCTACAGGCGCCAAGCTGCATTATAAATATTCTAACAATGTTGTTAAAAAGGAAAAAAAGCCCAGTCACCCTTGTTTAAAAAGTGCTAGAAGTAGAAATATCTCCAGAAGCCAACCTTCTGGTGTGTTGCTGGGAGGTAATTAACAAAGTATTTTGGGAAAGAATAACTTGTACACTTTTCATTATTGACTCAAACATTTTTATTCCTGTCAGTTTCCTGTTGAGTTTCTTACTTTTTAGCTAGTCTAATCTATACTTTTAACTTTTTCTGACAATTTTCCATTTGACTCCTCTTCTTGATCTTCAAAGACCTGAAGGATCTTTCTTAAAATAGCCACAGTTGCATTTTTATTGTATTTCTCTTCTCTCAACTCCTCCTTTTCCCCACACAATTTCACTGATTATCTCTACAGGGATGCCTCCCACAATCCCCTTATTCTATATGCTGAGTGCAATCTCTAACACTTTCGAGTGCAGTATGTTGGACACGCCTTTCAAGAAAGCTCAGCTCTAGGAGGTTCTATTTCTGCAGTGAGGCAACACCTCACTACTGCTGCCTCCTCTCTTTGCATCTCTTTAGGGCTTTCAGCAAATTCCCAAGTTCTATTATCTCCAAATGTTTTCCTCCTATTCTCACTGCCACTCCACTTATTGAAGCCTCTGTTCTATCTTGACTAGATAAATTATGCACTGGCCTCCTAAACTGGATTCACGGTTCCCGTTGTTTCCATCCTTAGTCACACCTGCTTGACAAAATAACCCCTGAACAGAAAATTGATGTTTCCTGGTCCTGAGTTTTCTACACGGTAAGTTTTGTCAGCCTGGTATTTAAAGTTCATGTTTCATGGCTTGGCGCCTGTAGCTCAAGCAGCTAAGGCGTCAGCCACATACACCAGAGCTGGCGTGTTCAAATCCAGCCTAGGTCTGCCAAACAACAATGACAACTACAACTAAAAAATAGCTGGGTGTTGTGGCTGGTGCCTGTAGTCCCAGCTACTTGGGAGGCTGAGGCAAGAGAATCACTTAAGCCTAGGAGTTGGAGGTTGCTGTGAGCTGTGATGCCACAGCACTCTACCCAGGGCGACAGCCTGAGGCTGTCTCAAAAAAATAGATAAAATAAAGTTCTCCATGTTTCAGCTTTATGCTACCTCTTTTTTTTTTTTTTAAACCTTTTACTCTTTACAAATGTATCTTTTGGCCAAGATATTCAATTATTTTTCTTTTTTTTTTGCTGGAAAGAAAGGGGGAGGTGGGAAGAGAGAAAAGGGTATTGATCTAATCAAAACCAGATCTATCCAACATCAAAGCAAGAAAGTAAACAGGCTTTTCAACTCCTCAAATTCAAATCAAGCAACCTAATTATTTTTTTGTACTTAACCAAATCTATTCTTTTGCTTAAGCTTTTCCTTCTGCCTAGATTCTAGAAGGCCGCTTCGACATGTCTAAATCTTATTTTTTTTGGCTGGAGCTGGGTTTGAACCTGCCACCTCTGGTATATGGGGCCAGCACCCTACTCCTTTGAGGGCCATGCTGGCCCAACATGTCTAAATCTTATTTAAGGTCCAGTTTTTGCTTTCTTTTCAAATGACAAATTTTTTCTTCCCTGAACAAATTAAATAATCACTTTTTATAGCACTTAACCATTTTCCAGCCAAGATTCTAATTCCTTATGTGGGTTATCTTGACAGTGAGAATCTTTAGGACAGGCTACTCTTACCTTTTGTTTTTGCATCCCCATTAGTTCCTTGCACACAGTACTTTGTGCAGGTTAGGTACAGACAGCAATACTTCTTCAGTGCATGCATAAAGGATGAATTTAGGAAAAGCACATTGGCTAGAGCAGTGATTTTTCCACTGGTGTGCCTTGAGAAGATCTAAGGTGTGCAGCCAAAAATTTTAAAGATCATTAATTAAATTATTTTCAAGAGAAGTTCAAAGCACACTAAGTATATATATATATTTTTTTAACTATACGTTCAAGTGTGCTGTGAGATAAAAAAAGGTTGAAAAACCTTGGGCTAGAGTGATTCAATGAGTAGTATTTCTTTAGAGATCTTGGGGATGAGTTCAAATCCAGCAAAGTTGTTTTTCTCATTTTTTTTTCCAGTTTTTCTGCAAAGGCACCAGAATTCTTCCTCAAAGAGTTGCACAATATGTATAACACAACTACACAAAGTAGTCATAAAAAAGTATTATCATTAACATAAATGGAATACTGGGGTGTAGAAAGGTAGTTCTACTGTACTCTGAATTGCCTAGGGATGTTTTAAGATAGACATTGACATAAGGGTCGATTCCCAGAGAAGGGAACTATTCCCAGAGAAGGGAACTAGATTAGAGGTCTGTTAAGTATTCCATCCATCCAACACATTTTTTTCTTTTTTTGAGACAGTCTCTCTCTCTGTCGCCAGGGCATGATAGCTCACAACTTCAAACTCTTGGGGACTCAAGCGATCCTCTTGCCTCGGCCTCCTGGGTAGGTGGGACTACATGTGCCTACCACAACACCAAAGTATGTTTAGAGACAGGGGTCTCACTCTTGCTCAGGCGGGTCTCAAACTCCTGAGCTCAAGGGATCCATCCACCTGCCTTGGCCTCCCAGAGTGCTAGGATTACAGGTACAGGTGTGAACCATTGTGCCCAGCCCATCCAACACATTTTTAAAGGCACTACTATATACTAGGTGCTGTACACAAAACTCACTGTGCTCAGAGGGCTTACATTCTAATGATATTTGAGTAAAAACTGAAAGATGTTAGCAAGACATATGTTTAAGGTAAATTTCCAGGTGAAGGAAACAGTTGAGTGCAAAGCCCTGGGATAGGAGCAAGTTTAATATTTGAGTAACACCACTGATGAACACAGATTGGGGCAGAATGTGGTGAAGTGAAGAATGCAGATTAATCACATAGACCCTTGCCGGCCAATGTAATGACTTCAATGTAAGCTTTTTCTGTGATATTAGAAGTCATGGGAAAATTTTGGTAAGAGAGCAGACACAGAGAAGTCAATTAGTTGGTTATAACAATTTGTACACACACACACACAATATATATATACAACAGTGGCTTTGGCTAGGGTGATACATGCAAAACAGTTGGACTTTTTTTTTTGAGACGAAGTTTCAAGCTGTGGCCCTGGGTAGAGGGCCATTGTGTCACAGCTCACAGCAACCTCCAACTCTTGGGCTTAAGCAATTCTCTTGCCTCAGCCTCCCAAGTAGCTGGGACTACAGGCGCCTGCCACAACACCCAGCTATTTTTTGTTGCAGTTGTCAGTTTAGCTGGCACAGGCTGGATTCGAACCCACCAGCCTGGGTGTATGTGGCTGGCGCCGTAATCACTGTGCTATAGGCACTGAGTCCATGCTTCTATTTTGAAATATAAACTATTGAATAACCATAGTCACCCTATTGTGGTGCCGAGCACTAGGTCTTGTTCCCTATGCGTGTTTGTATCAGCTGGCCAGCCTCTCTTGATCCCTCCCTTCTTAGCCATCTGGTAAGCATCATTCTACTATCTCCTTGCGTTCAATTTTTTTTAGCTTCCACACATGTACCTGTGGCGTTTGTCCTGGCTCATTTCACCTAATGTGCTCTCATTCCATCTATATTGTTGCAAATGACAGGATTTCACTTTTAATGGCTAAATAATATTCCATTGTGTGTACGCATCACATTTTCCTCATCCATTCGTCGATGGACACTTAGGTTGATTCTCTATCTTGGTTATCATAAATAGTGCTGCAACAAACAAGAGTGCAGATATCTTTTTGATATACCCTGCAGTGAGACTGCTGGATCATGACAGTTGTACTTTTAGTTTTTTGAGAAACCTCCAGACTGTTCTCATACTGGCTACGTTAATTCACATTCCAATCAATAGTGTAGGAGAGTTCCTCTGTCTTCACATCTTCACCAGCATCCACCATTACCTGTCTTTGGAAAAAAGCCATTTAAACTGAAGTGAGGTCTCATTGTAGCTTTGATTTGCATTTCCCTGATTAGTGATGCTGAGTATTTTTTCGTGTACCTTTTGGTCATTTGTCTTTTGACAAAGATCTCCTTGGATCTTTTGCCCTTTTTAATTGCTATTGTGTGTCGCCCTGGGTAGAGTGCTGTGGTGTCACCACTCATAGCAACCTCAAATTCTCAGCCTTCCCAGTAGCTGGGACTACAGGCTCCTGCCTGATTGTTGGTGTAGTTGTCATTGTTGTTTGGCAGGCCTGGGCTTGATTGGAACCCGCCAGCTCCAATGTATGTGGCTGGCACACTAGCCCCTGGTACCTAGCTACAGGTACCTAGTCTTGAGTTCTGTTTATACACAGGTCATTAATCCTTTCTTAGATGGGTAGTTTGAAAATATTTTCTCCCTTTCTGGGGATTCTTTTTTTTTAACTTTGGTGTGCAGCTTTTTAGTATGATGTGATCCCATTTGTCTATTTCTGCTTTTGTTGCCTGTGCCTTTGAGATCTTAGTCAAGGTATCTCTGCCCAGAACAATGTCCTAGAGCAGGGGTCCTCAAACTTTTTAAATAGAGGACCAGTTCACTGTCCCTCAGACCATTGGAGGGCTGGACTGTGGACCCTGGGACGAGTCAGCTGCTAAGCAGGACAGGCAGCAGTGGCAAAAACACCCGGCAGGCCAGATAAATGTCCTAGAGTGTTCTATAGAACTATGTGGTGAGAGACAGGGGTCTAGTTTCTCTTTTTTTTTTTTTTGTAGAGACAGTCTTACTCTATCACCCTTGGTAGAGTGCCGTAGCATCACAGCTCACAGCAACCTCCCAACTCCTGGGCTTAGGTGATTCTCCTGCCTTAGCCTCCCGAGTAGCTGGGACCACAGGTGCCCACCAGGCCTGGCTATTTTTTTGTTGTTGTTGCAGTATGGCCAGGGCCAGGTTTGAACCCGCCACCTCAGTATATGGGGCTGGCGCCCTACCCACTGTGCCACAGGCACTGCCTGACAGGGGTCTAGTTTCATTGTTCAACATGGATATCCAGTTTTTCCAGCATCATTTATTGAAGAACTGTCCTTTCTCCAATGCATGCTCTTGGTACCTTTGTCCAAGTGAGTTGATTGTAAAGTGTGGATTATTTTTGGGTTCTCTGTTCTGTCCACTGATCTATGTATCTGTTTTTATGCCAATACCAAGTTGTTTTGTTTATCATAGCTTTGTAGTAAGACCTGGAATCATGTATGTGATGTTTCCAGGTTTATTTTGCTCAGGATTGCTTTGGCTTTTCTGGGTTTCCGGTTCCACATAAATTTTAGAATTTTTTTTCTCTTTCTGTGAAGAATAATTGATATTTTGATAGGAATTGCATTGATTCAGGTAGTAAAACGCTGTCAGGATATGCTGATAGAACTAGGTTGGAAGAGAACAGTCAAGATTCTAAGGAAGGGGGACTGAGGAAAAAGAAAAAAAAAGATTCTAAGGAAGGATGGACGGATGGATGGGTGGACCGTTTATGAAAGCGAAGATGACTTGGAAAAACTGAGGTGGGAATGAGGGAAAGATATGCTTTGTAGATAAAGATATTAGAAATGGGAATGCATAGTTGGAAAAAGTAGACCGTTGTGAAACAAACAGAGCCATCTCACAATAGATATGGCTTCCTTTGTGTCTACTGCTAGAAGTAATCAATGTAAGATTCATGTATATCTTGGGTGGTCCCTGTGGCTCAAAGGAGTAGGGCACTGGCCCTATATACGGGCAGGGGGTAGGTTCAAACCTGGCCCCAGCGAAAAACTGCAAAAAAAAAAAAAAAAAAAGAGAGATTCATGTCTATCTGTTGTGATGACAGAAGCAACTATACGAGTTGATTTATAAGGATTCTTCTAATTTAAGATCTTAGATTTATACGTAGTTTTCTTTCATTAATATTGAATGCAGAAACATAAAGCTAGTATTAGGTATTAAATATCCTTACAATATTCTAAAAATGCAATTTCTTCAAAATTTAAGTGCCAACTTACATTTTATTCACCAAGAATAGGTAGGATAAGACTTATTTCCCCTCAATGCGGCCAATCCAGAGATTTACATTGTTTTTAACTGTTAATGATAAGGGGATAAACAGCATTGTTTTATTTGCATCTTTTATAACTTATCGAATTCAAGGCTTTTCATTTTATTGGCCATTTGTATCTTTGTGAATTAAGTTTTTACATTTTTGCCTCTTTCAGTTGGTTTGTCCTTTACCAACTGAAGTGAATTCACATATTGAAGACATTAAAAACCCTGTCATGTTGCAAATATTTCCGTTTACCTTCTGCTATATAGAAATTCAAATGATACGATTTCCTTTATTACTGCTTTTCTAAGCTAAGTCATACTTTGCTCATCACATTTAATTTCTCTCACTTAATATATGTTACGTTATTATGTATGTGTAAGAAAATGTACTAAGTACTAATATGTGTGAGTACCAAGTAGAGCAAAAAAGTCCTATTTTCAGCGAACTTACAAGCATGAAAGGGTGCTGGACACATTCCTTTAAGTCAGTATGTAGTAAGTGCTGTTAGTGGTAGTTTGCATAAGTGTTCTTCTGAAGGACAGGGTGTTTCCTTGAATGATTCAGAGAGATTTTAGGAGGAGTTAAAATCTGAATTAGGGCCAGGCGTGGTGGCTCACACCTGTAATCTCAGCTTTTTGGGAGCCTAAAGGAGGAAGACTGCCTGAGGCCAGGTCTTTGAGATCAGCCTGACCAACATAATGAAACCTGGTCTCTACAAAAAATACAAAAATTAGCTGGGCATGGACGTGTGTGCCTATAGTCCTAGCTACTCAGCAGGCTCAGGCAGGAGGATTATGTGAGGCCAGGAGTTTGAAGGTACAGTGAGCTACGATGATGCCATTGCACTCTAGCCTGAGCAACATAGCAAGACTCTGTTTCCTGTAAAAAATATCTGAATTAGATCTTGAAGAAGAGTTAGGATTTCAAGGGGTAAAGGTATTAAGTAAATTTTACCATAGAGGCAGTAAACAGACACAAAATGTGTTCGGGGAATAGGGGACAATCCACTTTGGGGTGACTAATGCTGTAGGAAATATTAATCATAAGACTAAACCTGATTAAATGTTTTTTGGATACTTTTTATTACGTGGTCTTTATGTGGCGTTCACAGTGCCAAGAGCTTACTTAGAATATTATAACCCCTGGAAAAGTGAAGCAGAAGCTGCCTAAAAGGTAATCCTCAATTTCACACTGTAACACCCACGGCTTTCCCTCTTGGTGTTAGCCACAACTAAATTGACTAATGTCAAATAATCTGGGGCATATCTAATCTGATTAGATATTTCAGGTTCCTTTAGGATTGAAACTTCTAGAACTCATAGATTCAAGAAAGTGTCCAATCTCATTGTGATGAAACATCATCTTATCCCCTAAATATGAGGAACTCATTATGAGGTCTTTGGCATAAATACTTTAAAAACAGAAGCAAAATAGTCTAATATCATATGTACTTTGTATGCTGTGGGTCCTCTTTGCACAGTAAAATAAAGCATGACATTACTGACATCTAGTTATAAACACAAAAACCTTAAATATAACCTATCAGTAGTTTAGTCCCCTCCCCCCAAGTTTAATTAAATTTAAGATAGCTTAAGCTAGATGCCTGCAAAAATATTTGTGATTCAATTGTGTTTTAAGTTCTAGTTATCCAATAAATTTTAAAAGTTTAGCACAGAATGATTCTTTGGGTAAGGATAAAGGGAAAATAATGCAAATATGGTTTGAAAAAGTGTAAAGTCCTATATAATCATGAAGGTTATTAGGGAAGAAAATAATGCATATTTAGCTAATTTTGGTGTTAATAAGCAAGTTATTTTGATAAAAAATAATTAAACTGATGCTACCAATTCAAACTTGAGAATTTCTGATTGTTGAGGTAGTTAATAGTCTGTTATCTGAAACCTCAGTAGCAAACATAACATACAAACTTAATACATTTTTGGTATTTATGAAATACATACGCATATAAATGTTATCACTTCTTTCCGTAAACTGTAAATGGACAAAACTAAAGAACAATTTTTTTTCATATCCAACTTAATCAACTGAAAAATAGCATGCTTTGCAGTCTTCAATATACATACACAAATTTCTTCCCTGATCTTAAAATTTTATACATTCAACTTGTATTATTCTAGTGCTATTAGCTCTATTAATTAATTTATTACACAGGGACATCAGTATGAGGAGACTCTAAAATTCACATTTGAGCAAAAATGAGAACGATGACGTCATTACTTCTTTACTGTGAGGTTCACTGTTTACTCAGCATCCCTAAATGCTAGCATGTGGCAGATCACTGGCCATAAAGTGAATTCAGGGATTTAAGGGACATAATCATAGCTTGAGTCTGTCAATAAAGTCATAACATTCCCACCATTACCTTTCTAGGACATGTCTACTACTAGAGATTACCTTCAGTTTATTGGAAAATTAAAAAAAAAATGGCATTATAAATATAATAGAGAATGAAGAAAAAAAGTTAAATCTCACTTTAAGCACTTACTAGTCTAACAGCATTAGTGAAAATGGTACTCTTTTAGTCACGGCATGAAATATGCACAAAAGCTAGGGCTATTTTTCAATTACTGATGCTTCTAAGTTGAAAATGCATTATGAAATACGATGTTGCCACGTTAACTCAATGAGTCCTTTTGACACTATATAAGTAAGTGACAGAGTAACACCACAGTTATGTGACTGGAACTCAAAATTCATGAATTGATAGAACTAAAAAGAGCTAGACAAGATTCACTTGTCCAGAATTTATGAAATTGTTTCCCAGTAAAATAGTTAAAACTATGTATATTCTCTAAGACAGTCTTTAACATGCTTGCTCTCCTGGCTAGGCAGTAGCAAGGAAAACCTTTTTTCCCAACTACTGCTTGGCAAGGATGTAAAACCAAACTGCCAAATCCTTTCTGCCAGCTGGGCTGCCCTCTACTGGATTATTTAAGGTACTCAGCCAGCAGGCCAATGCAATTTTACAAGTAGACATAAATGTGAATTTCCCATATCGCCAATGAACTGAAGTTCCCTTAATAAATTAAAAACAAAAACAAACAAACAAACAAAAAAAAAAAACAAGGAAAACAACCATGTGGCAAATTAAATTTTACCGCTGGAGAAAAAAATCAGTTAAGTGCTAATTATATACAACAATTTTGTAATTTGAGAACCAAAAGCAATGAAGTAGTTCAGTGTCTTGATCTCCTTTTCAACCTTGGAGGCAGATCTGCAGCAATAACAATAGTAACATGTAGGAGCAACAGACATATTCTAAAGTCAACCTTTTGTGATGATTTGTGTATTAATACAAATCACATTTTTATAAGTTCATTCATGTGATGGATGTTCTCTTATTTATAAACATGGGTCACAGTAGACACACACTGAAGAGATCTTATCTGTTAAGTCTCTTTCCACAAGTATCAACTTTTCAGAGCTGTCTCCTCTGTGAAAAGTCATTGTAAGTAGGAAGCTGTCTTTCTCATGGTTCATCCCCACGCCTGAGATTTGCAGTAATGTAGGACCAATTTACCATCACTGCCAAAACACTACAAAACAAACATAACAAGTTAACAAATCAAACGCAATTTTTGTTATCTTCAGATGAAATTAAGAAGTCATATGTATCATAAATTTTCATATATATATATATATATCAGTTACTTCTGTGATAGTCAAGCTATTCAAGATCCAGTTTCTATTATATCAGATACATATCAACAATAATAAATGTTTAATAAACCTGTCCCTTAAGCCTTACAGGCATGGCCGGGCAGTTGTCTCCCTTTCCCTACATCTCCAACCACAACATACGTAATTTCACAGCTGTTTTCTAGAACTGGTATTAGCATTTATACTTGGATTGTTTCCATAAACTGCCAAGAATGTGGAACAAAGTTGAGCTTACAGTTTCTTCACTTTCTTGGAAGCAGATCTGGATCACAAATTATACAAACAATATATCAAGTAGAGGCTTGGTGCCAGTAGCACTGTGGTTACGGTGCTGGTCACGTGCACTGAAGCTGGTGGGTTTGAACCCAGCCTAGGCCAGCTATACAACAATGACAACTGAAACAACAACAACAAAAAATAGCCGGGCATTGTGGTGGGTGCCTGTAGTCCCAGCTACTTGGGAGGCGGAGGCAAGAGATCGTTTAAGCCTAAGAGTTAGAGGTTGCTGTGAGCTGTGATGCCACAACACTCTACTGAGGGTGACACAGTAAGACTTTGTTTCAAAAAAACAAAACAAAACAAAATATATATATATATAGCATGTAGAATAATCAACGTATAGATGAAGGGAATCTCACTTTCTGAGAGTACAAACAGAAGATTACCTTGAAGTATAATTTATTCCTTGATTCTTCAATCACTATAGTTAGGATCCTACTACATTCAAGGTGTTAGAGATGTAATAGAGAACAAGAAAGTCATTTCTTCTTTCCAAAATAGACAAGAATGCCATGCTACTTCTTAAAATAGAGATGTGAAATAATGATCATACTAGATCGGTATATATGCTATACAAATGTGCATACACCATTAAGAAAAGAAAAAGCATTAGCTTTTTACCTCATAGAGGGTTCCAACTTCCTGGTCTGGGGAAGGAGCAAAGGACTGATTCACATAAATAAACTACAAGAAAGGAAAAAAAAGGAGATTCATTTTTAATAGTATACTGATTAACCTGCATTTTTCTGGGTTCCAATCAGCTAGCTATTTTAAACTCTCTGTTTTCAGAATTAAAGAAAGCTTCCTTAAAAGCCTTCTAATTTTCATGAAATAGCTGACTGATGTACAACTTTATGAAGATCATATCTTTCTTCCAGAGGAATAAAATAACAGAATTCCCTAACATTTTAAAACTATGAAACTTTAAAATATTTCTTACAAATAGCTATTGAAGGACTATTCAAGAAATTACATCATCATAAAATTATCTCACCAATAAATACAGAATTTCTCCTAACAAAATTTAACACAGAGAAAAACCTACAAATCTAACAGTTAAGACATTCTGTTCATTTTTGTTGGGTATATGTATGACACACAGAGTTTTCTTTTTGGTCTTAACCACCTTTGAAAACTTCCAAAGGTATTGAACTTCAGGCTGGGTTCCACTAAAGTCACCTGCAGATAGATGAAGCAGAAAAAATATATCATCACTGAAACCTAATGTGCTTAGAACTTTGTTCTTTAAAGTAGACATTGTTCATTGTTTCAGTTTAGTCTATTTTTACTAAAATATTTCTAGTACTTAAAAAAAAAATCCCTGAAGATACTGAAACAAGAGATCACAGTGTCAAAGTGCCTTTTTATAAGTTTCTTTTTGGAAAACAAGACATACGTAGGTAACAAACGTAATATATCCAATTTCTTTTTATGCCTATAATTAATTACTGAGACTAAATATTCTAGACCTAATAGTATTTTTAAAGAACACCTGCAGAACAGTTGGCTAGACACTACTTTGGTCATCAATTGTAACAGGTATAAATATTGCTAATATTTCTCCCTTAGGCAAAACAGTGTGGTAATTAAGTTTATAGATTCTACTGAGAAGGATCTCAGTTTGAATCCTGCCTCTACATATAACAGTTTTCATCCTGTTTTCTTATATGTAAGATTTGGAAAATAACAGTACCTAAACATTTTGAGTTTGCTTAGAATGATAAAATGAAATAATATATACTAAGTATCAATGTCTGGTGTATGTACTTAATGCACATTACTAAATTATTTTAAAATACTTCATGCCTAAATATCAATTCATGGTTACGGCTAATTATAGTCCTAACATAACAAATTTCAGAAATATGCCAGGCGTGGTTGTTTGAGCCTACAATCCTAGCTACTTGAGAGGCTGAAGTGGGAGGGCTGATTAAGCCTATGAGTTCAGGATCAGCTGGGGCAACATACTGAGACTACAACTCAAAAATAAAAATTATTGTTAAAAAATGTTCAGAAATAAGACAGAAAGCATGTGCATCTTAACGTGAATTCCCAATTATACAAATATAATTTGTGTATAGTTTCTGGCAATTTAACCAAGAGTGAACACTAACTGTACTCTTTTGGTACAGTACAAATTAGAGCAAGGGCACCCAATGACAATTTTTTCCAGCAAAAATTCATAAGCATCTATGATGTGCTAAAAACTATACAAAGTGTGGAATTATGAAAAGTAGTATGAACTCTCCCCTTAAAGAGCTTAAGAACTATTGGAGAGGCAAACACACAAAAGTAGGAAAAAATATACACGAGAAATGTGAACCTAATGAGGTATGTAGCAGACAGAAAAGTGGCATTTGCCTAGCCTACCAGAAGGGTGAGGAAAGGCTTCCTGGGAGAGATACCTGAGGAACGAGGAGAATCAATCAGTTGAAGAAGGTAGTGATTACAACTGTGTAGGCAAAGGAGACAAAGTAAGATAGTGGGAATGTCCACATGGATAACAGAACAGGTGGAGAAAAGGAATTCAGTGTGATGTGTGACAAGAGTTCCCAACTGAAGTAGCTATAGTTAAAAACAAAGGAATTCAACTAGTTTATTTTTTGAGACAGTCTCACTATGTCACCCTTGGTAGAGTTCCATAGCATCACAGCTCACAGCACCCTCCAGCTCTTGCGCTTAAGGGACTCTCTTGCCTCAGCCTCCCAAGTAGCTGGGACTACAGGTGCCCGCCACAACACCCAGCTATGTTTTGTTGTTTAGCAGGCCCGGGCTGGGTTCAAACCCACCACCCTTGGTGTATGCGGCTGGCAACTTAAACACTGTGCTACAGGTGCAGAGCCATTCAACTAGTTTAAAAGAGATAAAGCTGAAAGTGTTTGCATACCATAAAGTTCTATATAAGTATCAGGTCATCGTCACCAATCCTGCTGAAACTAGAAGGGGCTTTTATAAATATAATTTGTTATTTTATTTGAGATGGCGCCTCAAGCTATCCCCCTGGGTAGAGTGCCATGGCATCACAGCTCATAGCAACCTCCAACTCCTGGGCTTAGGCGAGTCTCCTGCCTCAGCCTCCCAAGTAGCTGGGACCACAGGCACCCACCATAACGCCCGGCCATTTTTTAGGGCTTATGAAAGTAAAATTTCCATGGGCAGTGCCTGTGGCTCAGTGAGTACGGCCCCAGCCCTATATAACAGGGGTATTGAGTTTGAACCGGACCCCAGTCAAACAGCAACAAAAAATAGCTGAGCATTGTGGTGGGCACCTGTAGTCCCAGCTGTTTGGGAGGCTGAAGGAGGAGAATCATCTAAGCCCAGAGTTGGAGGTTGTTGTGAGCTGTGACACCACAGCACTCTACCAAGGGCAACAAAGTAAGACTATATCTCAAAAAAACAAAGTAAAATTTGCAAAAATCCAAAAATTGGGGCAGATAAAAGTATTTTCCTGAATCATGATTGAGCTTATTTTTTTGGAGAATGACACTATGCTGCCCTCAGTACAGTGCAGTAGGATCACAGCTCAGAACAACCCCAAACTCTTGGGCTTAAGTGATTCTCTTATTTTAGCCTCCCAAGTAGCTGGGACTACACGCGCCCAGCCCATTTTGCTGGGGTATTTTGTTTGTTGTTTTTGTCGTTGTTTAGCAGCTCCTGGAAGGGAGTCATACTAGATAATTTTTAGGGCTTGAGCCTGTTAGTACCTCTTACTGTAGAAATATTTAATCACTTGCTACAGCAGAGGGCAAACTCCTCCTCAGTTTCAGCTTGCATCTCAAATTTGCTCACTTTGCTTTCAAGAGGGCCTGTCAGCTATTCTGAGGTTCTCCTTTTCTCAGTGTTGTCAGATGCTAACCCTGCTGGTTGCTGTTTTTTCCACCACAGTTGCTTCCTGTGCCCGTTGGGGGTTTGTCCCTACCAATGTGTTTTCGGGTTCATGAGGACATTTTGTCACTTTGTTTTGTGATAAATGCTAATCATAGGTTTTTAGTTTGCTACTTAATTGACTTATTTTTCTTCTGGAAAATGAGAGATTCGATTATGTCTTCTGACACCACTGCAATCTTCCCAGAATTTCTAACAGTTTTTTCCCTTTAACGGGTTCATGAGGATATTTTGTCACTTTGTTTTGTGATAAATGCTAATCATAGGTTTTTAGTTTGCTACTTAATTGACTTATTTTTCTTCTGGAAAATGAGAGATTCGATTATGTCTTCTGACACCACTGCAATCTTCCCAGAATTTCTAACAGTTTTTTCCCTTTAACGTCCATTTTGCTAGACACACGTCAATATTGAGAGATTGCTTGATGAAAATCAGAAAACATAAACTCTAGTTTAATTTAAGAAAGTAAGAAAATGACTCTTATGTTTCTGATCACTTAAATAGAAAAGGATAATCAAATTAACTATAGAAGCTTTCATTTAACCCATATGAGATTGTTCTTATAGGTTAAAATGGTGATTGATGGCAATCTTCCATGGTAAAAGCAAATATACTTGATATTAAGTCCTTTCAGATCACAGAAAATAGGCAATATAAAATTTCAAGCTTCTAATACTAATATGAGACATACTATCATTTCATCTTTTCTTCTATTTTGGTCTACTGTTGCTATTTCTGAACACTTTTCTTCTTTATTTTTAAAACTAATGTTTTAAATTATTTGGTACTACTGTTTTCTTACCTTACCAACTCTTCATGTTGCACCTTTAGTGGCGCTACAGCCTCTGCTCATTTCTATGCAGTGTATATCCTCATTCCTCTGACCTTTCCATTTAGACTGGAACTCTAGGCAACATCCTCTGCTTTCTGAATGTTTAGCAACCATATGTACGCAGACCACACTAAAATCTATCGCCTACCTTTGACATTCCCTCGTCCATTAAATTCTATATGGCATTCTTATCAATTATTTTCAATACTTTTCCTAAACAACTTTCCTTGGAGGGATCCCTGGCTTTATGTCACTCTTGCCTCAAAGAACTTCTAGTGATTCATCTCTCTTGCATTTACTTTTATTTACTTTTAACTGATGTCCTTTCTGTTGGAGCAACTCACAGCCAAATTCTTTTTTTATTTTTCCAAATTTTTAAGTAAGTCAGTTGTTTGCTCCTTACTAAGAGAAGTTGAACAGGCCCCCCACTTTGATTAGTTGACTCATTTTACCTGTTTTCACTCCTGCACTCACTAGTGAATATATCACACCCCCCCATGCTCACACACACAAATGCTTAATTTGTACTTCAAAGACAGTAATTCTTCAATTACCTACCAACTCATATGCTGAGTTAATGATAACCAAGAATGTGGTCTATTTGTAGATGATAGTGTGTGATACTTTCCTAGTTGAGATACCAAATTCAAAACCAGTGGCATTTAAAGTATTAATCCCTACTACACCAACATCATGAAGTGCTTACTAACATATACTACATGAAGTAAGTCTAGCTCTTAAGGTTCTTTCACGATATATATGTGTGGCAAAGACTCACTACTTATCTCAAGAAAAAAAGGGGGAAAAAGCAATGCTGGTAACAAAACGAACTTAAAAAAATCTTCTGTGCTGAGGTACAGATAATGTAATGTTCTATGACAGATTTTTCTGCATGGGTATTCAATGACTTTCTGAGGAAACCTATCAATATAGTGGGTTAAAAAAAAAGTTCACATTGTACAGCAAATCTAAAACTCATTTCATTTCAGGATTCCACAGAGAATCTTTTCATAAAGTAAATTTTACCAATAAAAAGATAAAGAATATAACAAAAAAGTAAGACCTGTGGCCCCATATATATTTCTATAAACAAGTTATTTTTTATGGCATAAGAATTACTGCAAATTTCTATAGGAAATTACTGATCAATTTCTATAGGAAAATGATCGCCACTGGTTTCATACCAACTGTTCTGAGGCCACAAGTTTAAGGAATTTTTTGATGAAGTCAATGAGTCCTTGGATGGTCCGGGTTCGCTCCACGGCCCACTTCTTTGTTTTCATAATAGGGGTGTCTCCCACAGCCTTTAGTAGAATATCAACTGTAAAAGAAAAATAAATTACTAACAACTACATGGAAACATCTAAGGAGAATGTGATATAAAAGACTTTAGAAAACCTTAATCATTAATCTACATATATTTCATGTGCTTATGCCACTGAAGATATATCAGAGACATAAAAATTGTAAAAGTCTTTTTCATCATTTATTTTTCTTGACTCTACAAAGTTCTCCTCATGGAGAAAATCCATGGGGATGTGTTTTAACCTAATAAGCAGTTCCAAAGAGAATACAAATAATCAATAAGATACGAAGAAAACTGCAAAGTAAAATGACGTGATGGCCTTTTTCACTTACGGAGAAAGACCAGAATAATTGTATCGATCATATTGCTGCTGAGAATATAAATAAAACAGTATATCCTTCCTGGAAAGCAATATGTTAATACAGATCCCCATACTTAAAGATACGCTTTGATTCAGTAAAACTTTTAGAAATTTAGTCTAAGAAAATATGAGCTATATAAAGATTTAATTAGAATGATTTCACTTCCATTTAGGCATTTTTTATTTTTATAGAAAAAAATCAGTAAACCTAAATATCTAATAAGAATATTAACTCTAAGAGAGAATGAAGAATACAAAATCTAAATTGCCTTAAATCCTGGCTCTGCCATTTGCTAGGTATAAACATATATACACAACAGAACCTCTATAGCTAACCACCTCCAGTTGACCTCATTTTCACAGACCAGATACACATCACATGTATGTGTCAATACAGCTGTGGAACCTCTGAAAGGTGACCACCCAAGGGACTGCAACAAACTAGTCAACATAAAGAACTAAGTCTATTGTCCTGATATATACATGTGGTACATGTCCAGTCTATGATAATTAGGTCAACTAAAGGAGGTGGTCAACTATGGATGTTCTACTGTATAAATATTTCTAAATAAACTTTTTAATTTCCCCATGCTACAGTTTCTCCAGTTGTAAAATGGGGACAATAGCACCAACTTGGCAGGGTTGTGAGAATTAAATGAATAAATGTTTAAAACAGTATCTAGCACATAACTCATAATTCTTTTTTTTTTTGGCCAGGGCTGGGTTTGAACCCACCACCTCCAGTATATGGGGCCGGCACCCTACTCCTTTGAGCCACAGGTGCTGCTCATAACTCATAATTCTTGAAATTTAAGATTAAGCACCCATTAAAGAAATACATTATAAAATTATATTTAAAAGTGACTAAAACCATCAACAAAAAATATTTGCATAAATATAAAACTATATGTACCAAAACGTTATTTCTCAGTAGTAACATTAGAGAATTATTTGGTTTTACTTATGCTTTCAGTAACTATCAAATTTTCAATAAAATTAAAGTAAGTTATTAACAATACAATAACCAGGGTCAAAAAGTTTCAGAGAGAAAACATAGGTTTCAATGATCCAAAATACAGATTATACAAGCCTAAAGACTATGCATCCGCCTCTTCACGTTATTTCAGAATATTAAGGGTGTCTCTTTCAGAAATTTTGCTTAAAAAAACAAACAACTATGATCAAAAGCAAAAACACTGAAAACAAAATAGTATAATGCTGCCCCCTAAAGTTTCTTCTGTTACATCCTTCTTGCCCCATCCTCTAGTATTAAAAAGTTGGGACTCCATAGGGTCAGAGATCTATTTATTCACATTAACTCCTAAAATGAAGGCACCTAAACCACGTGTTGCATAGTTTATCTCCATGCTAAATAACTACTTGATTACCCTAGCTAGACTACCCTTTATTTTAGGAATAGAAATAAATCTGAAGATAACAGAGATTTTGTTTAGCCTTTGACATCTCTCTTCCCTGCTCCCTCAATCCCTATGGGATATTATTAATTCAGTTAATGCAATTAGGCATTTCAAGAAAGGAAGAAATATTAAGAGATAAACTACTGACGGAAGAAGGGAGGGCAAGAAGCATGAACAGGAAAAGTACTTTAATTATAGCTGTACTCTCTGTTTAAGTTCTAAAGGCAATTTGCTCGTAGTTCTGAACTTTGGTTACACATCAGAATCACCTGAGGGAATACTAAAGCAAAATCGTTCTGAAGAAGGGCATTGGCACTAATATGTTCAATAGCTCCCCCAGGTGAACAAATGTGGCCCCAGGGCCAAAATTTTGGCCTATTTCAACAAATTTAAGTTTCTCTCATCAGACTGCCCTAATTTTTTTTTTTTTTTTGAGGCAGAGTCTCACTATGTCACCCTAGGTAGAGTGCTGTGTCGTCACACCTCACAGCAACCTCCAATGCTTAGGCTTAAGTGATTCTCTTGCCTCTTGACTACAGGCACCCAGCTATTTTTTTTTTTTTTTTTGCGGTTGTCATTGTTGTTTTACTGGCCCTGGCTGGGTCGGGATCTCCCAGGCTCAGTGGATGTGACTGGTGCCCAGGCAAGAAGCCCTCATTTTTGAGGGCCATCTCAGGTTAGAAAATCAATAGCCTGTAACTAAATTTTATATTGGGGAGGTGAACTCAAATGCTAACAGGAACCAGAAAATCAAAACCTGATTTTATTTTATTTTTTTTGAGACAGAGCCTCAAGCTGTCCCCCTGGGTAGAGTGCCGTGGCATTACAGCTCACAGCAACCTCCAACTCCTGGGCTCAAGCGAGTCTCCTGCCTCAGCCTCCCAAGTAGCTGGGACCACAGGCGCCCGCCACAACCCCGGCTATTTTTTGGTTGTAGCTGTCATTGTTGTTTGGCGGGTCCGGGCTGGGGATTCGAACCCGCCACCTTAGGTGTACGTGGCTGGTGCCTTAGCCGTTTGAGCTGTAGGCGCCGAGCCCAAAACCTGATTTTAAATGACAGCTCAAGCTGTAAAAAATATTGTGCAAAGAAAACATGCCCGCAGACAATATATGGGTCGTAAGCCACTACTTTTTTTGGCCTGTTTTACACAGCTATTGTTAGGGTCAAATAAGCTTTTGACTACGACTGCTAGAACTTAAAACAGCAAACCTGTTGAAAGTCTGCTCCTGCTTATGATAAATTGGGAAAAAACGCAAAAAAAAATTTGGTTAAAGTGTGGGATTAGTTTTAAGACAGATTCTAGTGACTACTATAGAAATAATCACAGTGCATCGAATGGAAATGACAGTAATTGTCCCCAAACGTAATGGCGGTCCTGTTTGAAGAGAGTAGAACTTGGGGGGTAGTCCTAGGACAGAAATCCTCTACAGCAGCAGAAACTAAAGATCGATGAAAAGGGCCGGAGATCACTGGGATTTTAAGAGTCTGGACTGAGAACCTCCTCTTCGAATAGAAGTTTATTTTGTTTTCACGAAAAGGCAACTCTTAAATTTACATGGCATGCTTCAGAACAATTAACTTTAGGAATTCCTTTATCTTACAATGGCACACTAATTCTCCAGCAATAATGGCTTGCAGACAAGCTAGTTCAAGCAGTAACTTCCTTACGAGGGTTCCAAAATGTTTTTTTCTTAAGGCATGGTTTCCCTTAGCGTTCTTCACATTGGTTAAGATTTCAGGTTTTTGGTTTAAGGAGTAAATCGCACTTAGTGGGGTTGGCGAAGCGAACTAGTCGGAAGGCGTGAATTCTACCCCACCTATTAGAATAATTCTACCCCACCTAATTAGAATAATTACCACCTGTGTTTAATATAAGGCACTACCGAGATGCCACTCAGCTCCCCCTTTCGGAGTGCGCTTCCTCTTTTCTAAGGACTGGTCAAACGGCACCTCTGGGACGCACCCTTCTCAATTTTGCTTCTTTCCTGGCCACCACCCCTCTTCGATGCAATCCGAACATCCCGCCTCTCTGCCCAGAAACTGCTCTCAAAATTACTTTTTTTCTTGGTGTCGCCAGCGGGTTCCTCTGTCCCCGGGGAGACTGCAGCGGAAGAAGGAGTATCTGGAGTGGTTGTTTCTGGGGAAATCTCCGTAAGTCCTTCACCTCCAGGGGCAGTTGAAGAAGGTAGCTGCAGCACCGATTCCTGCTCCTCCGCCATCTTGCTAGCTGGGAAGCGGGAGCGGAAGTCGCGGCTGAGAGCGTGCAGTGGGCGAGCTTTGAGCCGGGGAGCGTCGCAAAGGAGGCGCCGAAGTAGGGGACGGAACTCAACAGTGAAAGTTGGGATTTCTTGCTAGTCCTCCTTGCAGAACCTGTCTCAGACCTCTGATAGCTGATATAACGCTCAACGTTTTCCTTCAGCAAAAACCTCGGAAAACAGGCCAGGAGCAACGTCACCACACTCCACCCAGGGATCAGATGCCCCTCGGAAACATGGGCTCGGACCTACAGACGTTTCCGCTTCCCTCCGCTCCTGCCCCGCCCAGGCCCCGCCCCTCACAGGGCCCGCCCATCAGCTCTGGAGCGCGCTCGCGCGCGTGCGGGAGGGGGCGGGTGGGGAAGGATCGCCGGCTAGATCCCGAGGCGAGGCTCGCGCGCCCGCCCCCGCCCTGGCCCCCAGCGCCCACCCGGTCGGCCCGGCCCAGCCATGATCAAGGCGATCCTCATCTTCAATAACCACGGGAAGCCGCGGCTTTCGAAGTTCTACCAGCCCTACGTGAGTATCCGCCCGCCGCCGATCCGGGCGAGGGGGAGTCGTTGGCAGCGGGCAGCGCCCAGCGCGGCTTCCTCAGAGCGACCCCCTCTGGCGCGCTGCGGCCCTGCCCGCTCCCGGGCCGCCTGGAGCTTCCCGCTGTCAGCCTCCCGGTGGGTGTGAGCGGGGTGTCCACCTCTCGCCGCGCTCTCAGCCTCCGACGTGGCTCTGCCCGGGTGGCACCTCCGCCGGTCTGTGGGCTTGGTGGTTTCCTGGCTGCGCGGGCGAGGCCCTCGCCGGTCCGGCAGCCTCAGCCCACCGATGCCCCGCGAGCCCACCCGGCGCCTGTGCCCTCGGGAGCCCGGGAGGACAGTGCGGAGCTCGTTCTCGCCGCCCCACCTCCCTGACTCCCAGCCTTTCTAGGTGGACCACTCTCTCTTCTGGGCAGAGGGGCTGCGGTTTTCCCCTGTAATCCTCTCGTAGCGCCGTAACTTTGGCTTCCTGCCTCGAGCTAAATGCACGCTTTGTACAGTCCTGTGTGTTTCCACACGTGATCACCTGCCTGCTACTGTGACTTTCAGATGTCTCTATTAAAGAGAGAGAAGTGAGGACAGGATGTTTTTATGGGGCTTTTTACCTGCTGGCTATAAATTATTTACTGTCTAAGTAATTGGTCACATTTGTGGTTGACCAGTTAGAACTATGATTCTGTACTTGTAGGAAGTTAGGATTTCAGCTTCAGCTTTGGCATTTTCTACGTAAGGGAATTTGCCCTAATATGTAGCTTTCCTTCTACTTAATGTTTGTAAAACTTCTCTTTTAGACCTGTAAATATTGATTGGTAAGATTGGTAAGTGCAGGAGGCTTTAAAGTAATAAAGATAAGTAGTGGTTTATTGATGATCGAGGAGGGGTTTTATAGACTTACTCACTTTTGCTTATCTGAGGGCGGATTCACCAGGGGCGAAACCCATAAAATTGCACTTTCAGTGGTAGGACTAAAGTGAGGTGTAACTAATTGTGTTTTATTGGGGTATTCTGCTTATAGCCAGAAATGAACTTCAGTTTGCTTTTGAAATTGTGCCAAGACCAACATTTTTAAGCATATAACTCCCAGATGGAAATCATTCCTGCCATTAAAAATTAAATGTGAACATGTCAGTTTGCCTAAAATGATAATGCAATCTGTGGAAGTGTTAGTTGAAGTGAGAAATCTTGAGCTTACTCTTCATTTCCTCCTTTCAGTTTTCTTAGCCATAAAGAATATTTTCTCCGGTGGTGCCTATGGCTCAAGGAGTAGGGCGCCAGCCCGATATGCCAGAGGTGATGGGTTCAAACCTAGCCCTGGCCAAAAAAAAAAAAAAGAATATTTTGTCTTCCTCTTGTATGGCTTTAATTCTGTTTAACTCATATAGGAATGATTCTGCTTAAATCTTTAGGATACTATTCTAGTTGATCTTTCTGTTGAAAAAAATGCCATTAATTTTCTTTTGTACTCCTTGGCTTATGATATAGTAATGCTAGGCTTTATTGAAGGAGTTTTTCTTTTAACCATTTTGCCAGTGCTACTTATTCACAGTGTAATAAAGGCATGTTGCAATAGTGAAATAGAATTTAAAAATCACCTAAACTTAAACAATATTCAAAGTAGTAGGATTCTTGGCTAATCTATAGTATCATTGTAACCACTACTGTAGTAGAATTTAACTAGGTGCATAAAATGTGGAAATCCAGAAATACACCTTTCTCTAGTCCATCACTGGGAACAGAACTACTCTTCACCTTCACTCAGGTAGTGGTGAAAGTTAGTAGGGGAAGAGGCAGTTCTGGCAGCAGTGTCAGCTCTGGTGGCGGTTTTTGGACCTTGCATGAGAAACAGTGCTACTGGAGACGAGGAGCTAGAGGGTATAAGAGGAAGAAAGTAGAAGTGGGGTACTAGAAGTTGTTTCTGTGTATTAGTCTTTTATAAATTGGGTTTTGTTGACTGTATGTATTTTTGTCTTTCAGGAATAATTTAATTTATTTACATATTTGCTTCTTCCATTAGTCCATAACCTGTTTGAGGGCAAATATTCTTTTTCATTCATTTATTCTTTAATTTGGCAATAGATATTTATTTCATGTCTACCAGTACAGGCACTGTTTTAAAATCTGGAGACGAACAAACATACTAGCATGCTGTGGGAGGGGCATAGACAGAGCTAATAAAAAGTAAGTTAAATATTACATGCTAGATCATGATGAATGCTGTGGGAAACATGAGGCAAGGAAGAATAGGGACTATGAGGATGAAAATGTAAAACAGGGTAGTCAGGTGAGTTCTCACTGAGAAAGTGGCATTTGAGTAGAGGTTTGAATGAGGTAAGAAAGCCAACCTTGCAGAAAATCTGGGGAAAGAGCATATTTGTGTCACCTCCAGCAGTGAACACTAAGTCTTGGATGTAAACTTTTTAAATGCATTCACTTAGAGTTTGCTAGCTTGAAATAGAGTTTGGTTTAGAATTGACTTCCCAAATTGCCTTCAACTTTCAAAATTTAGTCCTTTATGAAATAGAGGTTTTAGAAACTCACACATTTAGCACAAAACGGTGTGCTATTTCTGTTTTAAGTTGAAAGAAGTCTCCAAGAAGCATATTTCCAGTAAGATTGGCAATTGTGACTTTAATTTATTAAGCAATATCTAAGGGTGTGAGTGGGCTTAACGGTTCCAGACTCTGACAGGATGCTGAGGTTTGAGTCTAACAGGAACGGTTTAACATTGAGTAGTTTGAAAATTGTTTCACCATTTGCCAGTTACTTTCTCCTCCTCCCCAGTATTTTCATTCCTGGTTTATCCCCCCTCAGGAGTATACACCTTGTATGTAGTACGTTCATCTCTACACCTTAACAGTGTGGATTTCCATTTCATACTCTAGATTTTAGATTTGATTGTGCCTCCAGGCTGTTATGCGTGAGACATGAAGTTGAGTACCTATTTTGCTAAACTGAAGTTTTGGTTCATTCCACCAGAGTCAAACATTAATTCCAGGGTGGACTCAGAATGCATCCCCTTGTGTTTTTGCTTTCTATATCCTTGGACTATGACTACCTAAGTTCAAATGCTTCTCTTGGTTTGTCTTTTTATATTGATGCTTAGCCACAGCTGCTTGGCATTAATAACCTTTAGTCTTCTAACATTTTCCTGACAGTGTATTTGTGTTTTTACTATAAATAACTGAGACTTACACTTTTATAAACCAGATACATTTTTATACAGCTGTCAAACAAGAAAAAAAATCCAATTTTGAGTTGTGATTTCTGTGCAATTAATGTACCATGGCATATCCTGTCATGAATGACTTTAACAAAGTAGGTGTTTTTTGTTGTTGTTGTTGTTTGTTTGTTTAATACAGAGTCTTACTTTGTCACCCTTGGTAGAGGGCTGTGACATCATAACTCACAGAAACCTTAAACTATTGGGCTCACGTGATCCTCATGCTTAAGCTTCCCGAGTAGCTGGGACCGTCGGCGCTGGCCACAGTGCCCAATTATTTTTAGAAATAGGGTCTCACTCGTGCTTAGGGTGGTTTTGAACCCCTGAGCTCAGGCAGTCCACCTGCCTCGGCCTCCCAGAGTGCTAGGATTACAGGTGTGAGCCACTAAGCCCAGCCCGAAGCAGTTTTTCTTTTATATGAATTGTCTTAATTGTTCCCATATGTAAACGATTATGTTTATATATGCATGTCAGAAAATTTTCAAACTGTAACATACCTGACTTTTTTTCAGTTTTCATATAAACTGTATCTGATTAAGTTTTTTGTCAACCAAATGCAGACATCACTAGGAGGAACTCTAAGATTATTCTTTCTTTCTTTTTTGGAATTTTTTCCCATAGAAAGTAGAGTATTGGCTCCGTGCCTGTGGTTTAAGTGGCCAAGGCGCCAGCCAAATGCACCTAAGGTGGTGGGTTCGAATCCAGCCCCGGGCCTGCCAAAACAACAATGACGGCTGCAACCAAAAAAAAAATAGCCAGGCGTGGTGGCA